CGAAAGGTCAAAAGCCGGTGATGTAGTCCACCAGTTTCCCTAGTTAATGTTTATATCCCAGATATTATAGCAACAATATCTTTGGTTAATGAGTAGCTTTGCTCCAAGAGGAGAGATGTGCCAGAAAAATCTTTATCTCTTCTCTGGATGCATTGCCCAGAAGCGAGAATACAATTTTGTTGGTCTTTAACAGCCTGCGTTGAAACATCTAAACTTGGGTTTAGGATTTAGCATCTCTGCTTTCAGAGTTGGACAATCCTGGGGGAGCAAAAGGTAGTTCAGTGTGGGATTGGTGCACAATTCCTCCGAATGCTCATATTGGCTTTTGACCTTATTGGCAAATTTACAAAGGCCATCAGTGATTGATTCTTGGCTTTTTTAAAACATAGGCTATAGCTAACATTGTTAATGTACGTGCAAATTTTTTTACTACTGGTTCTGTGGGCATGGCTTGGTGGGTGTGGTGTGGCTTGGTGGGTGTGACAGGAGAAGGATACTGCAAAATCCCATTCTCTCCCCACCCCACTAACCTGCTTTCCAGCTCCGTTCTCCTGTGCAGGACAACCAAAGAAGACCCAGCCGATCATCTGGGACTCAATGGGAGGCAGAGAATGGATGGGGTTGGCGGGGCCAGCCAGGGGTGGTATTTGCTGGTTCTCCGAACTACTCAAAATTTCTCACTACCGGTTCTCCAGAACTGGCCAGAACCTGCTGAATACCACCTCTGATTCTGACTATTGTTCATGCAATAAATTTGAAATATATTTTCTTATTTAAATACGCCTCTAGTGTTTATGAAGCAGGTCCCTAATTGCAGTTGGAAGTGGAGGTCATGAAGCTGGCTTGGACAATGCTTTGTTTGGGGGTTTGGCTTAGCATGTTGTGCCAACCCAGCTAACTGCAGCTTATTCAGCAAACCAATTAACAAAATGACGGTTTAGTAAAACGTGAGCTTAACCTACCAGAATCATCAGGAGAATGAAATGAGAAAGAGGAGAATTAAGGGAGGCACTGTGAATTCGGTGGAGGATCATCAGATGGGACAAATGTAGAAATTGAAAAGACAGTCTTGGTTCAAGAAATGAATCTGCTGCAAACATAATCGGTTGAATAAAATTTTATAGTGAAGTTCAAGGAGACGGATTGTCTCTCCCCGCCCCCCCCAAGAAATATTGTTCAGGTTTTAAATGTTCTTATTGCATGATCAACTGCTCTGCTTGGCCAAATGAATTTCACTGTCATTCCTTTTGTTCCAAATATTTTTGAGTCCTAAAAGGCTAGAAGATTTTGGTCTATTGTGATTGACTGAAGGTGAGCTCCAAATGCAGATTGTACTTGAAAGATTAAGGACCATCTATTCTGTAGCTTGGTTTAGATTTATTTTAACCATGTTTCAGTTTGTTATGGATGATCAAGATCCATTGCTCTACATGGTAAACAGTCAGGTTGCTGAAGGGGCTAAGCCAGCCCAAAGAATTCAAGCAAGAAGACTTCAGGGTTATTTTTTCCAAATTCTGCAGGAACAGGGAAGATTCTATGATAGCGGACTTCCAAGACTTGAGGGAAGATAAGAGGGGGGCTATCTATTCTTCAAAGCAGCTGAGGGTGGAACAAGAAGAAATGGGTGGATGATCATTTAGAGATCCAACCTAGAAATTAGGAGACATTTCCTGACTGTGAGAACAATTCATCAGTGGAATGGTTTGCCTCCAGAAGTTGTGGGTGCTTTTATCACTGGAGGTTTTTAAGAAAACATTGTGGACAGCCATTTGTCTGAAATGGTATAGGATCTCGTGCTTGAGGAAGGGGTTGGACTAGAAGACCTCCCCAAGATCTGTTCCAACTCTTTTATTCTATGTTATTCTGTGTTATTCCTGGATCATGAAGAGATGTGAACTGTCTCCTACAGTATCTGTGCAAACAAATCCCGACACTCCCCATTTTAAAAGAAAGGACAAATAATAATAATAATAACCAAAAGTGTTGAATGATTGGCAGGTTGGTCTCCATCAGCGACGTTCTCCAAAAAGTAAGCCAGGTTGGAACAGTTTCATAATGGCATAGGAGATCATAAGGAGATCCCAAGGCCAAAGGCTAAATCCCTTTTAAGTTTCATAGATGTGGCCAGAGTCAAGCCCAGGTCAGGGTTGATTATTCTTTCATTATACGCACAAAACTTTGTGTATACATACCTAGCCTTTAAGAAATAAGTTTAAGAGTATAAGACTGTGTTGGACTGTTTGTAGATCTCAAGGGAAACTAAAAATGAAAAGCATAAGTTACAAAGCACTTTTTTTAAAAATCTCTTTTTCTGACTTTCAGAGAAGAGCAGAGAGAGAGAGAGAGAGAGAGAGAGAGAGAGAGAGAGATCCCAAGTCCTGGGTCTGAAAGGACCATTCATAAATCACAATGTGTTTTTCTGGTTGTTGTAGGTATGCATATCCAGGCATACTTCTCTGCGTAGGCCAAAGCAGAGGGAATTTTCTCTAGAACACAAGAAAGCCAGACAATCCAACAGCTTTGAGTTACAGCCTGCCTGTCTGCAGAATGAACAATGCCCTAGCAGAAACCCAGCACATAAAGAAGAAGACTGTCATCTTCTCGTGTCTGATTTAAGCTCAAGCATTTAATGAATTTCTCATGACCCACCCACTTTTTTTTCTTTCTCCACACCTCTGTGATTGCCATTAATTGTTGGGCAATCATTCATAGTTTGCGGTCTGTGGGGCTTACAGGACCACGAAAGCCACCGATAGTTCAGTGCTCAGTTTTACTTTTCAATTCTGCCATAGCATTGAGTGTTATCAATTGTATAGCCCCTTCATGCTTCCTTAAAGGCAGCGTTCAGCTCCTAGGTTCTTTACGCCCCTGAAATTATCTTTGCAAAGGATCCAGGTTTCTCCCGGGTGAAAATTATTTAATGCATCAACATATCTGACAGTAAAGTCACAAACCCCCCAGACAAGCTGTGGCTGTGTGTTCTTGCATTAAAGCAGTGATGTTCTAGCTGCAGTTTTTAAAGTGGTTTAGGATCATTGCCATCCATTGGCTGCTTTTTCTCTCTTTCCCCCCTCTTCTCTCTCTCAAATAAAGTTTAAAACACAACAATATGACCCCAGGAAGATACAAAAAAGCAGATTGAAAACATTGGCTGTACCAACATGTTACCAAACATGGTTTCTCTGCACCACTCAGAGGATCTTAAGCTTTTATTATATTTATATTTAAAATGAATAATGAATAATTATTATGAATTAATAATGTCCACACTAGTTGACAAAAACTGCTTGTCATGTTAAGATGAGAGAAACTACAATGGTTACTGTTGATGAAAAATCACTGTTGTAAAATTGACTGGACTGCCTAGAATGTTTTCATTTCAAACCACCTATTTTAACAACCACTGCAGCATTTAAACAATGGCAGAAAGATATACCTAGGTGTTTGCATGGCAAGGGAAAAAGCCAAGGGTTAAATATAAAGTCCTCCAAGATGCAACGGAATGAGGAAGATTGGGATTTCGGCCATACCTGACACCAATGCAGAATCTTCAGGAAAAGCCCTGGTTAACACTCTTAAATTAATATGATTGTGGAGGTTTATGGAGATTCTTAGTCATCCAGGTCATGGTTGTCCCAAAGGTGCTTTTTTAGGAGGCAACTGGACTTCCTTTTTTTTTTGGAAGATGTTTCACTTCTCATCCAAGAAGCTTCTTCGGCTCTGACTGGATGGTGAGGAATGGAAGGACTTATATTCCTTGCAGACATCTGGTCATTTGCATCCTTGAAACACTTGGAGGTTTATCTGTGTCTTCAGGGTCACCTACAGCAGTGATCCCCAACCTTTTTTATGCCGCGGCCCGGTACCGGCATCAGCTGGGCGCCGCGGCCCGGTACCGGCATCAGCTTGGCGCCGCCATCTTTTTTTGATGAAAAAGTGCTTCCGGTGAGCTTTCTACCCGGAAAAGCTCACCGGAAGCACTTTTTCATCAAAAAAAGATGGCGGCACCCAGCAACCAGCGGCCCGGTAGAACTTGTTCCGTGGACCGGTACCGGTCTGCGGACCGGTGGTTGGGGACCCCTGACCTACAGGAACCATTTGTGCTACTCAGGTGACCCTGAGGACATAGATAAACCTCCAAGTGGCCTCAACAACTCTCTAAAAAGAATGCAAATGACCAGCTGTCTGCAAGAAGTATAAATCCTTCCATTCCCCACCATCCAGTCAGAGCCGAAGAAGCTTCTTGGATGAGAAGTGAAATGTCTTCCAAGAAAAAAACAAGAAATTCCACTTGCCTCTGGGAAAAACACCTCTGGGTTGACTCTGGAGGGTTTGAATTGGCTCCAGAGTCGGCATTTCTGTGATCCAAGCCCTGTTTCTTCTAAATCTCTCCTGCAACACTCATAAAAAGAGGCAAGACTTTGCTTGCAGAATTGCAGCCCCAATCTGGATTTATTTTTGGACACTCCTCAACCTTCTTTACTTATCAACATCAGGTTGGGGTGAAGACTCCGACTCCATGGTGCAATAGGTTGACTCTCTTTGAGTTGCAAGCATCCCGACGTCCACTAGAGCGCAGCCCGTGGAACAGCTACGGGAATCTTTTGGCTGCCCTCTAGTGGCCGTCTGTTGGTTGCAGCTCTATAGTGATGTGGGGAGAGACTAGTTTCCACCCCTCTTCCTAGAGGAAATGCATATATCTAATAAACAACTGCTGGGGTCTTTCCACTTTTAGAGCAGCGAGGCGGGATCCGCTTACTCTAGACCAGATTGCTCTACCGCGAGCGAATGCTTTTCTTCCACCATTCTATATCAACCTAGATCTATGGTCTTACATTCGTGAGTCTATGGTCCGTCGCTCTCCTTTTCGTCAGGGAAGCTCGGCGGGGCCTCCAACTTTACGTCATTCAACGGCTGCTTGCTACTGCTTCTGGGAGTTGTAGTCCGTTTGCGGAAGTGACTTTCTCTTTCTGGTTGAGGGAGGGCAGCGGAACTACACTTCCCGAGATGCTCCGGAGACGCCTGCTGCGCGGGCGGCCGTGTCCTGGAGACGGAAAGCCCCCGGCGGCCTGCCATGGAGGGAGTGCGCGGTTCTCCTCGGAGCCCGGATCCAGATTAGCGGTCGGCGGCGACGACGACGGCGGAGATCCTCCCCGAGGCCTGATGGACGAAAGCAAAGTGAATAGCTCGGAAGGGGCTCCCGTGGAGGGGGGGGGGGTCGGAGTTTGGGCGCCTTCTTCCGGGGTGCTTTGGACCTGGGATTTCTTCGTGGTCTCCCATCCAAATCTTCCCCAAGCGCGCCCTCCTTCAGTTTTGACCGGCCCTGGGCCTTCATACAGGAATTTATGGTGTAATTTCCCCAAAATAAATAAAGGAAAGGAAAGGGCCACCTTGCTACGGCCTCTTGGTCAGAAATCCCTGGGATTTCTTGGTGGTCTCCCATCCAAATCGTCCCCATGTGCACCTGGCCTCAGTTTTGACCTGTCCTGGGCCTTCATACAAGGATTCAGGATGTAATTTTTCCAAAATAAATAAAAGGAAAGGACTAGCTCGCTGCCTCCTTCTTGGTCAGAAATCCCTGGGATTTCTTGGTGGTGCCTTGTCCAAGGATGAAACGGGGTGGCCCTGCTTCGTGAACTGCTAATGGGTTCCTCTCCAATCATCCCTGGGGATTTTCCCCCCAGGAAAGGAGTGATTTTGTGTGCTAATAAGATGCATTTTGGCCCTTTTCCTGTGAATTCCCCCCTTGGATTACAATTTTTGCCCCCCTGGGGAAAAAAGTTAATTCCCTACTTTTAAAATGCATAAATATTTCCTCCAGGCGAGTCAGGAGATAATTGTGCAGCTTCCTAGCTTAAAGGTAAAGGCCCTTTTGGCCAGTGGTGGGATTCAATTTTTTTTATTATCAGTTCTGTAGGCTTTGAGATGGGTGGATTTAACTCCCAGAATTCCCAACTGTGCATGCTTTTAAGGGATATGGACTTCAATTTCCAAAATTTTCCAGGTAGCTAGAAAATTCTGGGAATTGACTGGTTGGATTTTTTTGATTTAAATCAGATTTTTTAATTTTTTTATCAACTTTATTTAAATAAAATGCTTTTGGAGTCAAAATCTATCTAAAGATAGTTTTCTATTTAAGATACATTATAATTTAGTTTATTCAGCATGAAACAGAGCTTAGTTATGTTGCACGAGGCTGTATATTCTGCAATATTAGGACTGTTGGTGAGTCAATAGCAGGTCAGAGGACGAACTGCTGCAGGACAGAGATGACTGTTGCTCTTTAAAATTTGTTGATTTAAATCGAGTTGATTTAAATCAAGCCTTTTTACTAGTGATTTAAATCGTGATTTAAATCAAATCCACCCTGCTCAAATCTGTCACAGTTGGTTTCTAATGCTTTTTTTTCCATAGTGGTCATTCCAGAGAAACCTGTCTGCGTGCATCTTTCACAACAGATTTTGTTACCTTTTTCCCCCCAGGTAGCTAGTGGCAAAGTGAAGAAACCAGGTAAACGGGGCCGTAAACCAGCTAAAATAGATTTGAAAGCCAAACTCGAGAGGAGCCGGCAGAGTGCAAGGGAATGCAGAGCAAGGAAGAAACTGAGGTACCAATATCTGGAAGAGCTGGTTTCAAGCAGGGAAAGAGCTATCTGTGCTCTTAGAGAAGAACTGGAAATGGTAATTACCTTTCTCCTTTTTCTTTCCCCCTCTTTTCTGTTTTCCCTTTCCCTAAAGTTTTTTTTTTTTTAAAAAAAATTCCTGAGTTTTGTGGCTGAGGTGCAGTTGGTTGCCAAGGAGTTTCATTCCTAGTTGACATTGGGGTAGTTGAAATTTCCCATTATTCCCTCAGTGTCTTCCTGCAGAGCTTGGCTCCCTGGTTACCCACAATCCACCCCCAGTTGATTGAGCCATGGTGGCGCAGTGGTTAGAATGCAGTACTGCAGGCTGATTCTGCTGCCTGCCGCCTGCCTTCAATTTGACAGTATGAATCTCACCGGCTCAAGGTTGACTCAGCCTTCCATCCTTCCGAGGTGGGTAAAATGAGGACCCCAATTGTTGGGGGCAAGTTGCTGACTCTAAGCCACTTAGAGAGGGCTATAAAGCGGTATATAAGTCTTAAGTGCTATTGCTGTTTCCCTAAATAAAGATCTCGCCAGGTGTCACACTAGCAAATTTTAACTGCATGTAATCATAGACAACAATCCACATACATCTTTCCCCGAAAATAAGACCCTGTCTTTTTTTTTTTTGCCACCAAAAAAGTCACGAGGCAACTGGGCTTTCTGGTTTTTAGACGTTTTGCTTCTCATCCAAGAAGCTTCTTCAGCTCTGACTGGATGTTAGGGAAGGGAAGGATTTATATCCCTTGCAGATAGCTGGTCATTTGCATCCTTTTAGAGGGTCCTCGAAACCTCCTGGCGGTGTATGGTATATCAGTGTTGTCAAGGTCACCTGAGTTTGCACCACTCGGCTGCAAATGACCAGCTGTCTGCAAGGAGTATAAATCTTTCCATTCCCCACCGTCCTGTCAGAGCTAAAGAAGCTTCTTGGATGAGAAGCAAAATGTCTTCAAAAGAAAAACCCATAAAGTCCAGTTGCATCTTGGAGGAAAAAAAACACCTTTGGGACAACTGCAATGATTCACTTGACAACTGTGGCAAGAAAGATTGTAAAATGAGGCAAAACTCACTTAACAAATGTCTCACTTTTGACATTTTAGGCTCAGTTGTGGTTGTAAGTCAAGGACTACCTGTATTGAATCCTTGCTGGAGTCTTGCTCTTACAGGCTCATGAAGTTGTGCAAAATGTCGAAACCTGGATTTATTTAGCCAGCTTTATAATTCATTCCAAAGCTTATAACACGGGATCAATAAACGTCGGGAACCTCCAGGTTCTAAAACCTTGGAACACGGTTTAACATTCCTTTCTTGCGTTGCACCTTTCTCTTTCAGTACAAGCAGTGGTGCATGGCAGTGGACCAAGGAAAAATCCCCTCTGAAATCAAAGCTCTCCTGAGCGGAGAAGAGCAAAGCAAGCCGCAGCAGAGCGTCGGCAAGATGGCCAGAGCCCTAAAGAGCGACGCCAACAGCCACAGTTCCTGTAAGTTCCAGTTTTACGCAATTCTTAACTTCCTTTACGGCTGTGGGCAGAGGCAGGCAGGGCGTAAAAAAAAAAAGCGCAGGAGCCTTGCAAGGTCTCCGCGCAGCCCGTTTTTGGCCAGCAGAGGCACAGCGGTCTGGTCCTTTGATATTTTCAGGCCGGTCCCGTGGCCAAGATTTAAGCACCCTGCGGGCCGGATAAGTCCCATGGGCTGTGATGATGCGGGGTGTGGCACAAAAAGTCACCAAAGTAGATAAATTCCCTTTAATGCTCCAACTTGGCTCACAATGTCCAATTATCCTCGGCGGGAGATCAAACTCTTCCAAAAACAGTCTACAAAGGGAGGAAATGCAGTCCGAAACCAAAATACAGATAAAGTAGAAATAAAAAAACCAACACAAATCACGCTGAAGGAATTAACACGACAGACCAGGATAATAACTTGCAGACTTCCAAAACATAACAAGGCACACACAGTTGGGAGGACACCAAAACCCAGATAAGCCTCGACAAAGATAATGCACGCTTTGCTTCCAGCAACTTCGCCATGCGCAGTTTGCCCTTTTAAACAGTCTTCCCAGCTGCAGCCCATGAAGGGGATCAGGGCCCTTTCCTCCCCCGTAAACCATGTTGCTCCCTTCTCCGTTCCTCCCTGCGTGCCCTAGGATGAAGACGGGGTGGGCCTGGGTCTTCCTTTGATGCCCAGCTGGCCTGTGCCCTTCCCCAGTTTCTTCCACAGCCACCAGAGCCACACTCCCACTCCCTGTCAGCTGTTCCACCTCTCCCTCGGAATCAGATTCCAACTGGGGCATGACATGGGCTTTGAATTTGACACCCCTGTTCTAATGAAAAACACGTTTCTTTTCTCTTCCAGGGTGAAGGTCAGTCCAAGCAGACTGAGGCCCATATTTAAAACAAAAACCCCCCCACAAAATGATTTTTTTAAAAAAGCAGTAATCTACTGACTTCGTGTGAAATTGCCCATCCTTGACCATATCAACAGTTCAACAACGTCAACCATTCAGCCGTACTGCAGTTGGAGTTTGAGCCTGGCAAGAGGGCAGAAGTAAATCTTTTTGATCCATTTGATTTAATAAAACAACATCCCTGTGTCTGCAGGAATTTCTGCTTGAAGCAGAGAAGGAAAGGCCCACGATTATGTCAGCCCCAAGTCTATTCCAAAATGTATTAGAAATTCTGGGGTTGATTTTGTGGGTAGAAGTGGCTGAGAAAAAGGGGGAGACCTTTTTTCCCCTAGGGATGATTGGGCCACCAAACTCTCTTTTGTTGTGTTAAAGCCTATAATTATGCTTTTGATTTTGTTTTCATTGTTTATTCTATTTAGTGTTTATTTAAGGAAAATACTATGCCGATAGAGAAGTAGAGTTTATTATTCATGGGATAGCCTGTTTTGCATTGGACATATATATATATATATATATAGTGGAGTGTTTTTCAAACTGGGCCATTTTAAGACGCTTGGTCTTCAACTCCCAGAATTCCCTAACCAGCAGGGCCATTGATGAGAATTCTGGTAGTTGAAGTCCTTAAGCGGTCAAGTGTGAAGAATACTGGTGTAGCACCTGCTGATATAGCTTGCTGTAGATGGCCAATGTGTCACCTCCTTCTTTTCCTTCCGATGTTTCTGAACTAGTGGAGTTTAGGCTGTACTTGTGAATTGTGAAATCCCTGACTCGCATGTCATCTCAGTTGTAAGTTGATGTACTTAAGCGAGGGTGCAGTTTGGGGTAAAGATAATTGGTTTGGATGGTTAGGATGTGTGAGGTTGCAGCCATGAGATTCTTTGGCTAAGCAACCCCTCTTTAGTTGCAGCTGCATGCACAGATCATCATGTTCATGCTGTGGTTGTGTCCCAGGGGCCTGTTATGATGCTGCTGTCACTGTCTTAGCACCCAACCAGCCTTTTGTGGATTGAGTTGACTATTTGAATTAAATCTAATGCTAAACTCAAGACTTCATTAACTAGGTGAATTGGTCATTTGATCAGCAGGGAAATAACTCTTCAGCAGCCAAGTGTCGTGGTTAGTTTATATTTTCTAAACTTGCATGATTGCGTCTTTGCGTAGACTGCTTATTAATAGGAGTTGATGAGTCAAAATAATTGTAGTCTTTTTTTTCTTCCCCTCAATGCAGTCATGGAGACGTTTGATAAGGAAGATACCCCACCTAGCTGGCTAGAGAAAGAGGGGAACAGAAGCAGGTTGCCCATTTCCTTCACCTTGCCTTCTCTCTCCTGGTTGCAGACCATATCGTCTGCTTTTGACATAAAGGGGCAAGGAGGGCCTGAGAATTTGTGGAGAAAGGCTAGCAAATGAAGGTAGCATCCAGGACGTTTTATATTTTCTGTTCCACAGGATCGGTGCATCCGTAGTGTTGAGTGTTGGAAAGGGAATAATATTGGAAACTTACAACCTCACGCTATGTGTATTTTTGCTGCAGGGAACAAAATAGTTAAATTATTGTGAGACCAAAGTCTGCCCTTTTGTATTAAAATGGATGTAACAAAGCCTATGCTGTCATTTATTAAAAGGGTTATTGACAGAGGGCAGGGTTGAAAGAAGGAATTGACCATCATGTCAGAAACACCCAAACCCAGCAGTGCAGGAAAAAAATATGAATGTACTTTGTTTATATGTATTAAAACAAAGCTGTTTTAATGAAAGCTTCCTTTTCTGTATGGAAAGTTGTGATTTTTCAGCCATCTTAATTGGCATGTGGGTAAAATGTGCAATCTTCTTCACACTATGACGCCAAACTGCTATCCAGCTGCTAAAAGGAATAAACAATAAATTGCAGTATTTGTAAAACCTCAAAGAAGCAGTGAATTCTTCTTGCAAATCTGTTTCGGAATCTGAAGTTCTGATATGCTGGCCTTAACTTTTCAAAGCCAGGGTTTAATCCCCCATCTCAATGTTTCTTAGCCTTAGTGGTTTTAACTTTCAACTCCCCGAAAGTCCACATGCCTTAAAATTGCTGAGGTTGCAAAACCATGCTCCTAGCATTTCCAGAAGGTCTGGGAGAGATTTCCGTCTTTGGCTGCTCTTCAGGGCCTCTGGGGTAGGCATGTGGGGCTGAGAGTTGCACAGGAGGAGAAGTCTATGGAGATTCTCTCTCATCCAGGTCCTGGTTGTCCCAAAGGTGCTTTTTTTTTTTCCCCCAAGAGGCAACTGGACTTTCTGGGTTTTTTTCTTTGAAGACGTTTCGCTTCTCATCCAAGAATGAGCTGAAGAAGCGAAACGTCTTCAAAAAAAACCCCCCAGAAATGCCAGTTGCCTCTTGAAAAAAAAAAGCACCTTTGGGACACGAGAAGAAGATTGAGGACTGCCTCGTTTTTAAACTAAGCTGGCCTGTAGCACCAAGAACATAAGGTAAAGATAAAGGTTCTCCTCGTACATACGTGCTAGTCGTTTCCGGCTCTAGGGGGTGGTGCTCACCTCCGTTACAAAGCCGAAGAGCCAGCGCTGTCCAAAGACGTCTCTGCGGTCATGTGGCTGGCATGACTAAATGCTGAAGGCACACAGAACGCTGTTACCTTCCCAACAAAGGGGTCCCTGTTTTTCTACTTGCATTTCTTACATGCTTTCGAACTGCTAGGTTGGCCAAAGCTGAGACAAATAACGGGAGCTCACTCCGTTATGTGGCGCTAGGGATCCGAACCACTGATCTGCTGACTTTTCTGATCGACAAGCTCAGCGTCTTAGCCACTGAGCCACCATGTCCCTTACCAAGAACATACAGCAGCCTAGAACTTAACAATTATTTGTGTTACGCTGAAGGTCTGATTCACATTGCAGTCTCTTATGGTAATGGGAGTTTTGATGGCAACCTGGATGGCTTTTCCTTTAACCGGAGACTGACTCCTGGAGACTTTAGAAGCTGGATCTGGGGCTTGTGTAAAGGGGGGAAAAATCTTCTTAATTGCTTTGACTCCCCTTTAAAAACCTTGGGAATGTGGCAAAAATCTTCTGGCCAAGCATGTTTCATCGAGTTATGTTACATTTGCAATAATACTGCTGTTTACTGATTTCAAATGCTATTCGGTGGTGGTTCAGATTTGGGTTGCCAAGTAGAATAAGGAGGTCTGAAAATAAATCCAAACTAAATTTGAGTTTTTTTTTTTTAAAGTCTCCTATCTGACCTTGAACCTAATCTGATTGGAGTACACCCCAAATTGGTACATATTGCTGAAGGTATTTGATATTGTCTTCCGTGAATATCTATAGATTGGATGTGTGATATTACTCATATGGCGATGTTGCTGCACAAAAAAACACAAGTAATTTGGTGCACGTTGCACAATTCATTTCCTCAATGACATACTGACGTGTTTGGTGTTTGTGTCACAAATCTGCTTCTTGACTCCAAATCGTTTAGTCAACCAGCCACAGGAGTTCTCCAAAAGTGCTCACAGAAGTGTTTAAATGCACAAGATACAGTGATAAAAAATTTGCACACATGGGACTGTGAAGTTCCAGGACCTGGTTTCCACTTCCGATTCTACTTCCTCTATAATTTACAGAACGATAATGGGTACCTTGACTATTTGACTAATGAATGAAAAATGTAAAAGAATACATTGATTGCTGTTGCTTCTTGTTGATTAATTAATATGGGCCAGATTGGGTTCTGACTCAGGATGAGAACAAAACTTTTCACCTGCGAGCACACCTGTACATACAAAAGTTTGCAAGTCTGAGGAACCACTGTGATGGTCCTTGTTTCTATTAGGACAACAATTGTTAATCCATCTATCATCAACAAATATAGTTACAGGGAAAACCAGAATCCACCAACGGGCATTTTCTGCCACTATTGTTTAATTCTGTATGTGTCATGGCCCCATAGATCCCAGTTTAGAGAAGGGAAGAGGAGTTGGATCCAGGACCATCCAACAGGAATGGCACATCTTTCAGGGAATGTTTGGAGAGGCCAGGGACTGAGGACAATGCTATCCCAGGCCCTTCAGGCATTGGCGGAAGTGATCGACCAGATGGAGACCTGCCTGCCCTCACAGACACACGGGGGAATCAGTGGCTGACAGGAAGAGGTGCTGATAGGCAGCAGATCCCCTCTGATGAGGAACAGCTGCCTCCCCCACTCGATCCCAGGGCATGGAGCGGAGGCGAGCTCAAAGGAGGTCTGCGAGGCTGCTCGGAAGGAGGTCGCCCCAGTCCTCCATACAAGCAACCCTGGCTTGGGTTGACTTACGCAGAGGCCGGGGTGGGGAGGGGTGTCTTTGTGGCGAAGAGTTGTTTTGGTTTGGCATGCACTTCCCTGGCCTTGGGAAAACTCTCGCTCTGAGTCGTATTTCTGCCTGAGGACTTCAACCCTTGCTTGTGGGCCTTGAATCTTGTGTAGGGCTTACCCGTTGTGGACTTGCCCCTTGTTTTTGGACTCCCTCTCTGCCTTTGAGATGTGGCTGTGGTGATTATTGGCTTTTGTTTGTGGGACTGTGGGCGGCTGCCTTTAGGGCTGGAGCTTCCCCCGGCTGTTGTACGGCCATTTGTTGTGGACTTGATCGAAGTCTGTCTCCCTAGGCAACCTGGGTCACCAACAGGACATGATAAAATGGTTCTTTTCTCCATTTAATGTCTACAGATCCAGGGGATGAGAACAAAACCAGCCAGACAAGTATTGGTATGTCTCTCGCAATACTTTATCGGGGGAAGATTTCTGAAAACAGGGACTGTTGGAACACACAAACCCAGTTTTCAGGTGTGGAAAAAAAAGTATTGTGTTCCATCACAAAATTCCTATTGGGTCCATTCCTTCCTTTCTATATACTGGCCTGATCTACACTAATTGGTCAGAAATAATTTCTAATGCAGAAAGCAAGAATGTATTGCCGGTGCCGACTGTAAGGGTTATTCTAAAGAAGACTGTCATGCCCCTGTCCGAGTCTGATTCGGAGGAGGAAGCCAAACAGCTGACAGGGAGTGGAAGTGTGGCTCCATTGGCTGTAGAGGAAACTGGGGAAGGGCAAAGTCCGGGTGGGCAGAGCAGGGGAGAGGTAGAACAAGGGAGAGGGAATTCAGAGGAAGACCCAGGCCCACCCCCTCTTCATCCTAGGGCACGCAGGAAAGAACGGAGAAGAGAGCAACGTGGGTTGCATGGCTTACGGGGGAGGAAAGGGCCCTGATTCCCTTCATTAGCCACAGCTGGGAAGAAAGTTTGCTGGGAGCAAATGTGAGTTTATCTTATGTTGACTTTGCTTATCTGTGTTCCTGGTGTCTTCCCAATCGTGTTGAGTGATTGTCGTGCCTTCACATCTGGAATTGTTGCTCCTGTCCTGCCGAACTAATTAACTCAGTTTGGCTTGATTGGATTTAAAGTTACAGTTTTTGTTGATCACATTTTGGACTTGATTCTCTTGCAGTCAAAAGCTGCTCCTGGGAGAGTTTTTCTCCAGCAAGAAGGTAACCTGGACATTGGGGGCAAAGTTGGAGCTAATAAAGGGACTCCTAGTGATTATCTGACTGTGTTGCCTTTGTGCTCCGCCCTGGGTCATCACAAAGTCTGTAGCTTTAAAACAATGCGCCATAGGATAAAATAAACGGACTCAGTAAAACAAAGCATTTATTTTCCCTGCTTAATTGTATGGAAATCCTTCCTGTAAGATGGCATCTGCTCAAAGGAAGAGTCTTTGAAAGGACTGGCATTAATTATACAAATGTGTTTGGTGGGTTTGAATTAATAGGCCAGGCAAGTTTTTTCTCTTTTGCTTCTCTGTTGAAAGAATCATATATGTTGTCTTTGGAAACGGTTTTTGGTACAATGGGGAATTCTGAGATCCCCACGTAATTTTTCTTGGCCATCTTGGAGCTGGTGGTGACGGTGTAGGCATTACTCCTATAACATTTCATGGAGGACATACAGAAAGTCTCCCTTATCCCCCTCCTGAAGTTGGCATTGTAGGCCGAATACAACGTCGGTTTCAAGGCCGAGGAACTAAACGATATCCAAGTAGCCATCAAAAAGACCAAGGCGCTTTTCCTATGATCGGTCTCGAATGGGCGCCACAGTTGAACCACGTAAAATGGGAGCCACGAGAGGAGAAAGAGAGAGTTTAACATCAGGAACATTTTGATGGTTTTCACCTTTGTCCTAGGGACCACATTCATTGTTCTCCGGACTGCTCTGCCCTCGCTCCCGATTTTCCAAATGTGCTTGACGACTTTCTGGTAAAAGAAAACAATGAGAACCGATGGGATCAGAAAAGCTACTAATACATGGATGATGCTATAAACGGCACCGTCCCAAGAATAGGGAGGGAAAAAACGGCAGTGGTGGTCTCCATCCAATCCCCCAAAAATGAAAACCGGAGACATTAAGGCTGCGTTGAAGATCCAAGACACCGCAATCATTTTTTTGGCTTTTTCCCTCGTCACCTTGAAACTTAGCGGGTAGACGATCGTGTAGAACCGGTCAACGCAGATGGAAAGCAAGACGTAAATTTGAACCCCGGGGGTGAGATACTGAAAATACCTGACTGCCTTGCACATCATGCTGCCCAATGTCCATCCGTCAGAGGCTAACTGGAACAGGACAAACGGTACGCACCCCACACTCATCAGCAAGTCTGCGCAGGCCATGGAGACCACGAAATAATTGGTGGTCGACTGAGTCCTTCTACTCCTGTAGATGATGAGGCAAACCAGGGAGTTTCCGAAGACGGAGAGTAACCATAACACCCCCCAAAGCAAGCTGGCAATGATGATTTCTCCGGGCATCAACTCGTACTGTGAAACTGTACTGTTTTTCTCTAACCCGAGCTCCTTGGACATGGTGGTGGCCTCGTGGCTCCCCAAAGGGTTCGAGGTTTGTGCCTGAGGGTGGTTTTGTTGCAGGAGACCTGAGGTTGGGGTGAGAAGAGGCGTGGTGTGGCGATCCATGTCTTGGGAGTGCAGCATAGTCAGTCTTTCCCTTAGAGGACTGCATGGGGAGAAAGATCCATCAGTTGTTTTAGGAGTAAAGGAACAGTAACAAACATCACTTGGTCTTCGTATCACAGAATAAAGCCTACAAACTTGAAATTTGGCACATATGTCCCTCTTGGCTTCTAGGCGCTCACTAAGAAAGGACTTTTAGAAATGACCATCAAAGCATTAGTATTTCCTATATTATTATTATTCTTATTATTCTTATTATTATTACTACTACTACTACTACTACTACTATTATTAACACACTCTGATGCTAAGGAGTTCTACTCTCTCTCCCCACCTGAAAAGAAATCTCTTCCAAATGCAAAACACAAGCAGAGGAGAGGAGTTTCAGTTTCAGTTTTAGTTTCACAGCACCAAGCAACTTTAGTACAGAACAGTTGAGCCAAGCCACGCCCAGGCTCCTTGCTGTCTCCTTCTTGCTCACACAGCAAATACTCTTTCAGTTTCCAAACAGCCCTCAACTCTCTCACACACTGACAGGATGCTAGCCAGATGAATACTGATGGATGCTGGTAGGCAGAGGCAGAATTTCCCCCCCTTATTTTCCTCCCCAAAAACTAAGCCCGACCACATAGTTTTGTAGCGATGCACGGGTAATGAGCTAGTAATTGTATATAAACAGGGCAGGATTAGTACCTCACTTATGTTTCCAACATTTTCTGGTGGAGTGTTTCAGGACAGATGAATGTATGCCGCGATTTCTTATATTTTAAAAATTAAATACTAATGCAAAGGATTTGATCCAACTAACTGTTTCCAAGAAAATAGCATAGTATAAACTGTAGATTCTTCATATTTATAAACTACAAGCATATGTCACACTCCAGGTTTTTTATTTCTTGCACTTCTCTGTTTTCCAGTGAAATATTTACATAGGGGTCCAAGTGCCATTTTTTTTTTTGCTGGATTTCACAATAGATATTATCTCAATAACTTGAAGTATTATAACATATAACTGATTTAATCTGTTGGCAGATGAAATTCTATATAAGGGCCCCTACAATTTGGCTTCTTCCAGAGGCACAGAGGAGTAAAGGCAGCTTTTGCTACTCTCTGTTGTTTACTGCTAGCACTCATTGGGTTGCCAAGGTTAAAGAGCTCCCACTTGACTTGACATGAAAAATTATTATTGCTGTTAACGTTCATAGGGTGCCAAATTCTGAAGATGCTTAGCAATTTACAAGCTAAAACACACAAGGAGTAATATCAGGAAAAGTGCACATACGGAAGATTCGTTAATGGTTCAACTACAAAACTGACTTGCAACCAAACTGAGGTGCAGTCAAGATTCCAAATCCTCCAGAAATGCTCAGTCCATTGATTCTTGCCCTGCCTTCGGGTGCTTTGGAGAATAGCTTGACTCCCTCTTCTTTGGGGCAACCCCTGAGGTATTGGCACACGCTATCATGTCACCCTTAGCCCTCCTTTTTTTTTATTAAACTAGGCATGCTCATTTCCTGCAACTTTTCTTCATACACTTCACAATGGAGCCTACCAAATGTTTGTGGGAAAGCTGTTCCAAAAGATCAACCCAGGTACCAAAAGGCACTGCCGCCTCTGAGCCACTTTTCTCAAGTAGGGCATCGGTACAGTTTCACCTGGGTAGATTGAATTGGTTGGACTGAATCCAACAGGAAAATACATGCACAGCAATATGGGTTGCTAATTTCTATTGTAATCCGAATGGAATATGATTTACATACTGATTCCTCAATATTGTGTTGTTAGGGTTAGCAACATTTTGTTTCCTTTTAGTGATGGACATAAACGTTCTCTCTTTTAGAAGAATATCCTTCTTATAAGCCTTATCATATTGATTATTGGATTTAATTGAATGTCTCTTTGGTTATTAGATTTGTCTTCAATACATTGAATTAGGTGTATGAATCCTGATTCCTAGCACTTGGCTTTCGTTTTCATTAATAGGATATGGCTTGTTAAAAGAAAATGCTAATCAGCTTCTTTAAAGCATTATTTTGGCATGAAGAATTGGTTTCTTTTGTTAATATTGGAAAGGGCTTCATAACTCCTTTGTGTGAGGAGGCATTCAAACTGAGTCCCAGCATGTGTCATATAATGAGAAGCTAAAAAGGCATGATTCAGTTCTAACACAAATGAACAAACAGCAGAATGGAACAAGACATTTTGTCCAAAGTATGTACTTTTTCATGCTTGCTATATTTCAATGCATTTAACATTCAGAACCAAAGCAGAGATATCTTTTGGAAAGAAAATAAGGAGAAGAGAGTTAAAAAAAAAACCCCTCTGTGTTTGACCATTTCTTTCTAGGGAGCCTTCAAAAAGATACCAAGTTACTGACGTTTCATTACCCAAGTCGGTTACATCATCCAAGAGCATCAAGGACCCCATAGATACCAAGTTAATGCCTTTTCTTTTGTGAATTATCCTCTGCTCTGGATGCGAAGGGTTCACGTCTGTGAACTAGAGCCAAGGCAGCTGCAGCCTCATTCTAGATCAGACCAAAGTCCCATTCCTGCCCACAAGACTGGCCAAGGGCCAGCAAGAAAATAATGAGTGGGATATTGGCAAACTAGATCTTCTCCCTCGTGCATTAACCACTGATGTTTTTCCCATTCATTAATCTGTTTCTGAGCATCTTTTAAAAATCAGTTAATTCACTATCTTACAGCTGCATACCCCATAAATACATATAGTATCAAATAATTTTTCACCGGGTATTTTCCAGGCATTGAATCTCTATAAAGGAATTTGCTTTGCTTTAATTGTATCCCCCCCACTCCCACTCATATTGTGAATTAAATGTTATCAATGATGTGCTCAGTGCCAACCCTGAAACCAAGTCTCAGCATATGTAGGTGCATCCTTGAAGTTGAATCAAATCACTCAAATCATATCAAATGAAGTCAGACCAATAAAGAAGTTATTTTATATGGTCCTTTTGAATAGTGAGATGGGGCAGTGTATTAAACGAACAAAAAGACATAATAAATGAATAAATTTGATTCTATGGAATTTAAATGGAAAATGAATTAAATTGGACTGAAATATCCCTATGTCTAAAGTACTTAGGTATACAAACACTCAGAAGAAATGTATGCAGATATTGGTTTTGGAAAGAGGAAAATTGGATGAGTTTCTCAGGGCTGGGATGTCAGTCATGTGAATGGGCATGGCAAGAGTTGCCCTGCTTCAAAGCTTGAATAGCGCAGGGCAAAAAGATGGAAAGGCTAAGAAGGAAGCACTGGAATTAAACTAAAGTGAGTTTAAAAAGGGAATTGTACCCTCATATGGACAGAAGGCAATCAGCTACTACATAGTGGCTTCTTTTTTAGTCCCCCAATACAACTTTTTATCTGACCAAGCGTTGTGCCATGTGTTGAAGTACAGTACAAAACATCGTGGCTGTTCCCTGATACCACTAGATGACCTCACTAGAGCTCACTAGAATGTGGCTGGATTCCAGGTCAGTTTGCACCTGCTTCTGCCCTTCTAATTCTACTTTTAAGGGAACTGTCCCCGTGAAACCAACAAAGAGCGGTATATCTTTGAGTCCATTTTTTTGTTTGCATATTTTTAATTCATCAACAGTAGAAAACCTAATCTAGTTCTGATTTCTATCACCCATTGTCTTTTGAGATCTGTGGCATTATTCTTTCCACTTTCTCCTGATCCCAATTCAGTGGGCATACTGCTTAAAAGATATTCCTTTTTTTTGCTTCTGCTTTTACATTTAGGAATAATTGTCTATTGAACGTTCAATGTAAACCATTAGTCCTGCAGATCTCCATGCCATCATCTTCAGTGGCATGCAGGTACAGTACTGAATAACAGCACGAATCCAGACTATCGGTCCATTAACATCAATATTGTCAATTTGGGGGGCTAGCGTCCATCTTTTTACACAAATCTCCTTTCCAGCCTTGCCACTAGGGATGCCCAATATACCAGTTTTGACCCTGTGCTTGCAAACTATGTATCCCCGAACCTATAAAACCTCACTTTCTATGCAATGCTAAAAGAACCAGCACCACTGGCTGTTCTAATGACAAGAATAACTGGTATTTAAAGGATGTGAGACAGCTGAACTGATTTCATTTTTTTTTAATTTAAGTGTCTACCATTGATCCAGCAAGGTCCAAAGAAAAAGAACATTAAAATTAAAATTGGGATGTTTTCCTCCCCGATCCAATCCCTTGCTTCCCAGAAAGAAGGATGCAGAATGAATCCTACCTGCTTCCAGGCATAATCCCAAATTCAGCAAAGTTGCCCATTGAGAATTTCGGTTGCGAGGGCCAGCTTCATTTTGGAGACCAGCTTTGATATGCACCGTTGCTCCACCTCTGGATGTTGGGCCGCCGAGGGCTGAATGAAAGTCAAACATGTTGCACTTCCTTCTTTCCCTGGGAAATGAAATAAGAGATGTGGCCTGGAACTCAGTGCTGACGCCCCTTTTCAAACTCCTAAAGCGGATCGCATGGAATACGAGTCACGTGGCCCGCTCCCCGAGAGCTAAATTAAAACTCCCTCGTCTCTTTTCTTAAAAAAAAAAAAGAGAGAGAGAGAGAGAGTATTCGCTATTCAAGAACAATCCCGTTGCACTAACCAAACAGGTCTCAAATTTATCTGCATACGTTCGTAACTCGGAGGGGGAACGTGCCTGTAATACGTGAGGAGGGGGGGGGGAATTGACATTCTCCCCCCCGCCTTGTTGAAAGTCATTTATGCCGTAGGTAAATGAGGCGCTTCCAGCACCATGGACAGTGGTAGAGTCTCGGAAGGACGGCCATAATTCCTAAGCGGCTCAAACTGTTGGATCTCTTGGGAGATTTCATTAGCCCCTTTTCCCCGGCAGACATGAGATTCACAGAACCATAGACTCATGGGGCTGAAAGGGACCTGGGAGGTCTTCTAGTCCAGCCTCCCTGCCCAAGGCAGGAGACCTTACTGCACCCCAGACCAACCTTTCAATCTTTTATTGGAAGTCTCCACAACCGAGCACCCACAACTCCCAGAGGCAAGCTGTTCCATTGCTCAATTGTTTTTATGGCCAGGAAATTCCTCCTTAGTTCCAGGTTGGATCTCTTTTGGGGCGAGCGTCCACCCACTGCTCCTTCTCCTGCCCTCGTGCACCAAGAACGGCACCCCCCCTTCCAACTCACCCCCCCTCCCCTTTACCTTTGCCATCCTCTCAAGGGGAAATGCTCCCCGCTGGCCACGGTTCTGCATCTCATCTCCCACGCTGCCCCGCTCCATCCTTTTTCCGCCTCAAATGCTTCCGATCCCAAGGAAGGAGAAATTCAGACGGCATATCCAGCTGCCATCTCATGCTGACGTCCTAGTTGCCATGGCACTGAGTGATTGTTGAAGAGGATGGTTTTCTTTTCCAACAATAATCATTAGGGTGGAAGAGGAAAGAAGGGCGAAAACCAGGAATGGCAAAGGAGATGGCATTTCCCTAGATTCAGTAAACCAGTCAGGCTTCCTGGTTAAACTCTTATTTTTCTGCTAATGCCTGGCCTCCTAAAATTTCAGTCTATGCTCACTTCAGCCTCTTTCCTGTGTGTTCTGAAAGGGCTGACTTCATCTAAACTCATCTTTAAAGGATCAAAGCCTTTTTAGAACCCTTCTGTGCCCAAAATATCTGTGAAATTCTCAGTCATCCAGATCATAGTTGTATCAAAAATAGTTTTTATTTTTTGAAAAGGCAACTGGGCTGACTTTTTTGAGGAAGACGATCACTTTTGATATGACCCTTCTATGGCTTCCCACAGTTACCAAGCACACACATCTGGCTGAGACTGCAGGTATATTCTCTTTGCCTGGTCTTGAGAAATCTTCCTTTTGCTTTAGTCATGTATGACAGGTAAAAGTTGGACATACCCAGCTTGACAAGTTGATAGATAAGACTTGAGGGAATGGAAAAGGGGGAAAAAAAACAGAATTTGAGATGTTGTTACCTGGAATTATGTGTTAAGTGTAATGATGGTTAGAGACCTACTCTGAAGATGAAAGTGAAGGTTTTACTGTAATCCTTTATGATGGTCTCATTATACAGATGCAAAGCATCACTGTGCACGAATTTAGCTTTCATATTAAAAAAATTGAGAAGGAATCTCTTGTATTATGGAAAAAAGATAATCTGATATATTTAAAATGAAAATACAAGCAGCAGTAGGGATATTATTAAAAATGGTCTGAAGTTTAAGGTTCTACCCTGTAGATAGGGAAGAATAAATAATCAAATGCTATCATATTTCCTTTCCAATGGTGCCATTAAACCTACATTTAAAAAAGATTTCCCTGTTCAGTTGTGTCTGATTCTAGGGGGCCATTACTCTGTTTCTTAGCCAATGGAACCAGCATTATCCAAAGACAATTTTCGTGGTCCTGTGGCTAGCATGGCTACACACCAAATGTTCATGGAATGCTCTTATCTTCCTAGTGAAGTGGTACCTATTAATCTACTAGCATTTGATTTAAGCTTAAGATTTCTTTCTCAGACTGTCATGCCCTTGGTAGAGTCGGACTCTGAGGGAGAGGAGGAACAGCTGACAGGGAGTGGAGGTGTGGCTCCTGAGGTTGTGGAGAAGGCTGGGGAAGGGCAGAGGCCATCTGGGCAGTCAGAGGAAGAACCAGGCCCATCCCCTCTGCATCCTAGGACATGCAGGGGGGAACGGAGAAGGCAACAACTTGGCTTACACGAGAGAGGAGGCGGCCATGATCCTCTTCATTGGTTGCATCTGGGGAGACTAGTATATAAGAGAGACGATTACAACACAGCGTTGTTCTATGTTCTATAATGGGAGGTTGACTATGGTTGTTCCCAGACTCCACATCTATGGAGATTCTCCATCATCCATGTCATGGTTTCCAAAGGGCAATTGGACTTCCTTGATTTTTTTTACCTTGAAAACTGAACGAACTGAAGAAGCTTCTTAGACGAGAAGCAAAATGTTTTCAAAGAAAAAGAAAGAAAGTCCAGTTGCCTTTTGAAAAAGCACTTCCAGATTCCATACACAAAAGAACAATAGGTGAGGCATTCTGATGTATTTGGGCTCTGATAAACTAGTTGCTGATTGGAGACACAGTCTTGCTAACAAATGCCGAGGATGGAGCGGAGACCATGCATGAGAAAGTTCTCTAATGGTGTGATGTGCCTTCATTACAGAGTCCAGGATTCACATCCTATACGAATGAAGAGATTGCTACAGCTGTGTAGACTTTCAGCTTTGTGGAAATACAGGTGATTGAGCACTCTAGTATGCAGCTGTCCCAGTGCCTGGCTGGCTTTGCTGTTCTGGAGTCAATTTTCTTTGTCCAAAGACTTGCTTCAGATGATACGTCCCAAATATTTGAAATTTTTTACATTTGTCAGCTGGGTATCATCAACAGTGATTTTTGATTCTGCAGGCTTAGTATTTGGCACATGCTCAGCGGTGGGATGCTACAGTTTGGCCCGGTTCTATAGGAAATCCTTGGATTTCTTGCTTTCTAGCTAATCTAAAAGCAGAGCCAAACCTTCCTTAGGACTGAAGCTTCTACTTTTCAGTGCAGACTCAGGTTGCAGATAGATAGATCTCTAAGTGAATCTGTGATTCTGTGAGTAAATCAATCTGCCTGACTGCTTTGTCTGCTTTTGGGTAAAAGTTGCTCCTTTTTTAAATAAAAAATTCAATATTTACATACTTGGTGAGTTGTGAGTTAATTTTATGAGTTTGCTTGCAAGCAAATTTTATGTGACAGACTCAGGTAGCCGATTGCAGATAGATATCTAAGTGAATTCTGTTAGCTACTCAATCTGCCTGCCTGCTTTGCCTGCTTTTGGGTAAAGGCTGCTTTTTATTATAAAAAAAAAATCAATATTTACATAAATATTTATAATATTTACATATAAGCCATGCCCACCCAGTCACATGACCACAAATTAGGTCACACCCACAGAACTGGTTGTTAAGAAATTTGAATCCCACCCCAGGGTAAATTGCAATATAAAATATTTTCCGTATCCTAAATGATCATATGGATAACATTGGTGTTTCAGGTTAATTCTCAGTTTGAATCAATCTATTTTCAACGGGTTAACCTACGACCACATATTTCTTGACACTATTATTGTCAGGGATTTGCGCACCCTGTGTCCAAATGGAGTCAGAAACGCTGACACAAACTTGTAGTTTTATACAAATAAATATATTTTACATTTATATTTACAGCAGACGAGACAGTCAGAAACATCATGAGGTAAATCACAAAACAGCATTCAGAGCACCCAGAAGGTAAAAAAAAAAAGGCGGGAAAAGGGGAAACTGTCACCAAGAGCATAAAATTCCTGTTTTGTTGCAATATTAAATAGGAGAAGCTGACAAAAGTTGGTGTTCCTAAATTGAACACATCTAGTAATCTGACTGTAGATATTTTCCCCCACAAGCTTACTGAATCTTCCCTACAGCCTGAGTGAGAACATACTGTTCCGTGCATTGAATGTGTAATACCTTCACAGCAATTCTTGCAATTGATCTTGTAAACAGTCCCAGTTTCACCCTCATGAGTATCTTTAAGGAGCTTAAGCACACAAATGCAAACAGAGATTCATCACCAAAACTGGAAGAAGAAGAAAATGAATCATAAAAACAAAACTACAAATGTGGCAAAGAAAAAATAAATTGAATGGAAAAGTCAGCATTGCACAATTGTATGTAGATCCACCAGGTGAAGCTGTAGGACTGTTTGTGAAATCCAACAGAAGACAGGAATTCAGTTACGTTTGCTGGCTTACAGGAAACCCTTTTTGTTAATTTTTTTTTTTTTACTATTTCTGGGATATTTTGTTCCTCGATTTTGTTATTTCACTGTAAAACAACCTGAGTTACAAACACAAAGTTATAAAAAAAGAGCTTCTTATATGTAGTGTAAGATATATATATAAAACATTGTAAATTACGTAAATAAATTAATTGTTAGTAAATTAATTGTGATCCAGCAAAAACGATAAAAGGACACTCAAAAACCAACAAGGAAAATATTGCCTATAGAAACTCTTATGAACATAGAAGCCAAAATCAGATGCAAATATTTTTTAGGTATTGATTCCTGATAATGCAAAGCTTTGCAAAAGTTTTCTTGCATGAGAAAAGCTCAAATTCATTAAACTGAATGTGTGCAGGTAGTCCTTAATTTACAGCCATTAATTTAATGGTCATTCAAAGTTAGAAGGCACTAAAAAAAGTTAAATGAGGTTTTTACACGGCCATTACAGCATTGCTCCTGGTCA